GGCAGCTGTCCTCTGCTCATCCGTACAACCGCGCGCCTCCACTATCCTTGATGTCAGGAAACGCGTCCCATTTGTCAGAGAATGTCAGAGTTCGTTATAGCCATAACCGCTCTTAGAACGCCGCGTGTCCTTCCTTTCACGTGCTGGAGATTCCCTTGTGCGCTCCGCTGTTCGACCAATTCTGTACGACCACGCCCTATCCGACCATCCTCCCTCGACCAACTCCTCGAGTTACCCGCATCTGTCGACCACTTCTGATCCCATTAGTCTCTGCTGTCTGCTCTCTGTCCTCCATTGCAGGTGTCTGGTCCGGCTCGACCATATCATTCGACCCGTTCTTATTTAAGTAATCCGACGAACCGGTCTATTTTCTCCGGTTAACCCAGCAAACCGGTCTAGTATATAATATCCCATATCAAAGTTAAATTCATTGCATCACTAAATTAATTGTTGTTTATATCAATAATAGAATTTGCCCTATTTTAGTGAATTAGTTTAACTTTCTTACTTTGTTGAAACGAAGTGATGTATAAGCATCGTAACTTACCTTTAGCCATGGGAACCAAACTTTATCCTCGCACGAAAATGTTTTAGTCACCTCACTCCACTCGAACCCTGAAGTTCTTTTTATGAGTGCCATACTCATGTAGTTCTTCCTCCAGACCTGTATTTTTGAGCTGATGTGTGGGTCAGCTCCAATGGTACATTCTGGAAACTTCGCCTTCAATCTTTTCTCTATCTAAAAATTGTAGCCTTGCCTAAAGCCATTATCTGCCTTTCTCGAGAATCAAGTCCTTCAAAATATTTATCAGGGCAAGCTCCTCACCCGAGCTCCAAACATATCGTCTTGTTGTGTTAGAGGAGGAAGCTCAGCCAATTTCTTGGGAACAAGAGTAATCCATCAGCATACCTGTTCAAACAAGAGTTTTACACGAGAGGATTGGCTTGCGTTGTTAACATTAAATGTTGCATAAGAAACATAATGATCAAATGGGAAATGAATGCTTAAAATGAATTCCAAACACATTCCATTAAATGTAAAAACAATATTCATTTCACTGGGTAAAACGAATTCAAAAACAAACACGCACAACAAAATAAACAGGTATGGGAAATCACACAAGCAATGGTCCAAAAAAAGTAGACAACTAAACGACTATCGTATATTCAAACAAGAGTTCTTAAACTAAATCATATTATCCTGCCAATCACAAAACATATCTTGTGTCAATCGGTCACGAAACTCTGTCCATTCTACGCTACCCTCCACCTGGTCTATCAAATCATCCTCACTCGTAGCTGTGGGGACTCCGTCATCTGGTATCTCAGGAACTACCGCTTCCATGGGATCAGTGGCCATTGATGTACGTATGAAATTGTGAATGAGCGCGCATGCCATGTTAATGCGATTTTGGGTTCGAATGGAATAATATGAGCAACTCCTAAGAATAACCCACCGCATCTTCAGAATGCCAAACGAACGTTCTATTACATTTCTAGCCTTAGAATGGCGAAGGTTGTACAATTCTCTAAAGTTTTGTGGCCTTCGTGACCCTGTACCCCATTCTTGTAAGTGGTATCTGACACCCCTATATGGTGCTAAAAATCCGGGACCATTTGTGTACCCACCATCCACAAAGTAATAATTTCCTGTGTCACAATTTCATTTATAATAAGTAATTAAATTCTTGTGTTATGTTAAATTTAAAAAAAAAGGTTGTTATGTTAAATTTGAAAAGAAGGTTGGATGGTGTTTAGGTAATAGAATCATTCTATACCGTTTGCAACACGTAGACCATGCGTCCTAGTAACTGCATCACGCAAGACGCGACTATCTGCAGTTGACCCCTCCCATCCACATAGCATGTAGACGGAGTTCATATTTTTATCGCAGACCCTAAGTACATTGATAGAGATATTACCATTACGGGTTCTATATCGTGCCTTGTCCGACAAAGGGACTCACACGTCAATGTATGTTCCATCTAGTGCTCCTAGACATCCCTAACGAAAGATAAGTACCAAACAATTATTAGTTAGAGATAATTCAACTAACAAATTTGTAACACGTAGTGAAATGTGGTGTAGGTTACCTTAAACCATTTCCACCTTTCATCGACACAATCCGCCTCAACTGCCTGCGGTTTCAGAGCTAGGATGGAGTGAAGTCGGATGACAGCGTCAAGAACACGATTAAAGTATTTGCTTATTGTTCGACCGGATCTTACAAAATCAAGCTTTAATGTGACGTTCTTCTTATGATGGGCCAGGACTGAGAGAAAAATTGCAACTTGTTCGCTTGGTGGAACATTTCTAGATTGTCTAAGTCCCCCAATGGTTTCAAGAAGGTGACAAAGACGGCCAAAGGAGTTACGATCCATACGGAGGTTCTCGACACAAGTTGTGTCGCTCACGTCTATCAACCTTCACATGTAAGTGATATGATGGGGGAGTCTATCACTAGCTCGATATAACAGGACATGCTCACTTGACGCACGTCCACGTCTTCGCCTAGGGCGGATGAATTTAATATAGTAAATAGATAGTAGCAAAAAAAGTTGAATACTACTAATGACCTCTTCCAATATGGTAACAATAGCTAATTCCTCTGCAACAGAATCCATCTACAAATTTGGATCAACAAACCTCATTATACAAAAGGTGAACATGGATTTCACCCGGGCTCCTTCAACTCGAACCGACCTCCGTACCTGCAGAACCCAACGCCGGGGGTGGCCCCGGCGTCGGGCCTCCGATGCTTAAGTCAGTGCTCAGATCAAGAGAGATAAAATGTTTAGTAAATGAATGGAGAGAATGTAGTAGTGGAATGAAAAGAGAATGTAGTATAGAATGAATAGTGAGGATGAATGAGTGTGGTACCTTGGCCCCCTTTTATAGGGGGAGTGTACCTTTTGGGCCCAAGTTGGGCTTAGATGTCTTAGTGGGCTTATCCTCCAATATGTATCCGCTTTATCTATAAATCGGGTCTAGTATAATATCCTATATCATCTAGTCCCCCCACTCTGGTCGAGTAAGCATAACTCGATCCAAGAGTGAAATGCCTCTTCGAGCCGCTTTCTTCCACTTGCCACTAAGATCGAGCATAGAAAGTTAAATGACCATTGAATAACCACTGAAATATCCTCCAAATGAGCTTTGAGATCTCGAGATCGAAAACCGAAAGACCACGAAGGTCGAAAATTGAATGATCTGATGTCGGGGTCGAAAATCGAAAGATTTGTCAATAAGGGAAAGAACCTAATGACTTGCCACTGAAGTCGAACACCAGAAGTCAAACGTCCACTGAGATCGAAAACCGAGCGTCGAGACCGTGGAGGTCGAAAACCGAGTGTCGAGACCGTGGAGGTCGAAAACCGAGTGTCGAGACCGTGGAGGTCGAAAACCGAGCGTCGAGCCGGTGGAGGTCGAAAACCGAGCGTCGAGACCGTGGAGGTCGAAAACTGAGTGTCGAGACCATGGAGGTCGAAAACCGAGTGTCGAGACCGTGGAGGTCGAAAATCGAGCGTCGAGACCTTGGAGGTCGAAAATCGAGCGTCGAGACCGTGGAGGTCGAAAACCGAGCGTCGAGACCGTGGAGGTCGAAAACGGAGCGTCGAGACCGTGGAGGTCGAAAACCGAGTGTCGAGACCTTGGAGGTCGAAAATCGAGCGTCGAGACCGTGGAGGTTGAAAACCGAGCGTCGAGACCGTGGAGGTCGAAAATAGAGCGTCGAGACCGTGGCGGTCAAAAACCGAGTGTCGAGACCGTGGAGGTCGAAAACTGAGAGTCGAGACCGCGGAGGTCGAATATCGAGAGTCGAGATCGTGGAGGTCGAAAACCGTGAGTCGAGACCGTGAAGGTCGAAAGTAAGAATCAAGAGACCACATATGTGGTCGAAAAACATAAACTGAATGACCACTCCCTGCAATCTTGAATTTGAAAAT